AATGGATAATTTACACAACAGGTAGGACACTAACACATCTAGTACTTAGAATAAGGCTATTTTTTATTTTCTGGAGCTGTCAAGTCAGCAAGAGTGTTATTGTCCCTTTAATAGAAGCTGTGTTGATTTATAAAGAAACTGTTTACTTGTGGTGTGAAGAAGACAAGCTTCAACAAGTTGTTAATTAAAAGAATACTTGTACAGTATTTCAAGTTCCACATATTCCGTCTCGTATCACAGGTTGATATTTTTATTGTTCTTCAAAGAAATCCCGTGTAAATACCGACAGGAATATCATGTTGTCATAGAAACCACCTAAAACCCAGTAACAAACAGCAGAATCTGTATAACCAGGTCTTCTTCAAATAAATTTACTGATGTTTTATAATTATCCTTCAGTCTACGAGTATTTCTAGAAAGAAGACTTTGTAAGTCATAAATTCTTTATAAACAATTTTTGACACGTGCCAGTTAATTTGTGTACGTTTATATATTACATATTTTAAAAGTGCTGGGGTCACGGCGGCTAAGTGGGTAAGACGCTGGCTCGCTAGCCTGGAGGTCGGGTGTTCCATCCCTGCATTGGCCGAGAAAGTTTGTCGGGCCCTCCGTTCTGCATCACTGGCAAGGGGGGAACTACGCCGGAAAATCTGGATGAACGTTCTCGGCTAATGCAGGGATCGAACACCCGACCTCCAGACTAGCGAGCTAGTGTCTTACCCACCGTGCCCCCCCCCCCCCACACACACACACTTGGGAAGAAGACCAGGCCGGTTCGGAAGGTCATTTCCAACCTCCCCAAACCGATCTGAAGTTGCTATAGAAGACCTATTTTTTTATCCACAAACCCAGCAAGGGCCATGGGTGAAGCAACTGTTTGATAAATTCATAGAAATCAAAATAAAATGGGGTTTAAAGACTTATTGTTCTGCTCCGATCTGATTACAACACAGATCTATCTCAGCGTTGATGTTGATAGTGCACACACACCAAAAACTCGCCATAACAGGCCGTTTCATTGGCCAAAACACGTCACCAATAACAACTCTTCCAGATTCTAGTGTAGTAAAGACAAGTAAAACGAAATTTTGAACTATAAAAAACGAAACGAAATAGGATCTGTGTTTTAATCAGACTGTTTCCTACTCCGACCGGGCCACTCTCCCACAAGTCTCGCTATCCAGCATTCGATAGTTTGGGCTGCAAGGGAAGACAACTCTGTTTGAAAGATTGCGACCGGGCATGTGAAGACGGGACATAGAAATCAAAAGAAATTCAATAAAAGATGGGTTTTTGAAATGATTTTTATTTTCAAATTATCTAACAACAACATGTTGTTTGTTTGTTTATTACAACATATTATTGTTGTTCTGTTTATTGTTTACGACGATTCGTTGGTTGGTGTAATGATCTATATATAAATATCAATATATATATATATTTATATTGTACAGTCAACCCTCTACATTCCAACCACATATAGAAATGAAATGGAGTTTAACGTCCTTCTTTTTGCACCCAATTGGCATCACATATAGGACCCGAGTTTAGGAAACTACTGTATTTGCTGCTTGGATAAATCCTTCCTTGGGAATTGTTTCTTTATTTATTTAACAAGGTCAAACTGTCGCCATCCAAGAATATAAACGTTTATTCCACTAATTTCAGATTTTATTTTCAAAAAACAAAACAAAGAGCAAATATGTTGGGTTTTTTTCGTCTGGGATTGATCTACGGAGGTCGGTCGGATTGTAGAGAGTTTACTGTAATCGCTTCTATTAAAATGAAAACTTATCACAGACAGCTACTTATAAGTATTTACAAAAAATAAAAAAATCATTTTTAAAAAAAGAAATCAACACAATTATATGTTAATAGATTTACAGGTGTATAGAAAAGATCGGATTAATTAATGAATTATTCTCATTATAAAATAACACAGTTTCACAGGTTCGGTTTATATCAGCGTCAACGGTAAATCGTGACCAACCTCTTCATGTAATTGACCCCGACCGAAAGTAGGCCTACTACAGGAGATTGTTAATCTCGATCATCTAGTAATATGACAGTTATAGGCCTACTACAGGAGATTGTTAGTCTCGAGCATCTAGTAATATGACATTTATAGACATCGTTAAGATTAATTAACGTGGAGATGGATCGAGGCATCGAGGGATTGAGGGGGCGGGACGGGGGGGGGGGGGCATGATGCAAGACTATCAGAGTATAGGGTCTTCTTAAACGAGCTTTAGTGCGATTATAAATGGGGGATTGTGATGTGGCTTGAGGGAGCTTACGTCGCCCTTGTGATATGATGCGACCGTATGCGATATAGTTTGGTGCAACCGTATGCCACTAAATGCACGCAGGCGACATAAGCCGTCGGCATCAGATCACAAGGGCGACGTAAGCCACCCCGCCCCCACCCACCACTTAAAGAGATTCATAAATTTGAAAAATAACTATGGTTAATCCGATCTTTTCAATATATCTACATTATTGCATAATGAAATAAAAAACACATATCTAGAACTCCCATTCATACTCTCCATCTTCACAAATAAATAAATAAATAAATAACAAGTGTCTCGCTAATATATAAATTAACAAGTAATGATTATTAATACAATTATCATGTTAAAAAAATTGGCGCTAATATGACTAATTGTTAATGAAATATGAGAGGGGCCACAGGGGATTTGTAAACCCGGTACAATAATTGAATATATAGTCCGGTAAATTTGTCTTAGTTAAATTAAACATACAATATGCAAGAGCTAAATCTGCCTATTGCAGGTCTTTCTTTAGGCATGAAATGTTATCTAAATTATTAATTAGACATTAATTAACTTATCTAGAACATAATCAACTCTCGATGTCAACGCTAGCCTGCGATATTTACTTAATTAGGATCCGTTTTGCTGCCCAACTTTCATTCATGATTAAATCAAGAAATGGATAATCGAGACTGTTTTTAATCGTACCGACTTTAGTAATGATTATCGAGGCTAGACTGAAAATTCAATCGCTAAATTCTCGGTTCAGAGTGGATCAATTTGACTGAAATTTTCAGCAAATACCCTTTACATTATCTAGTTTTTAACTATTATAGTGAGAACTGCCAGCTTTTTACCTAATCTCCCATAATGTATCTTTAAATAATAGTCGATAAACAAAAGGAGATAATAAATAAGGGGGAAGGGGGGGGGGGTAATAAACAAACGAAAGATAAACAAGGGGCGATAATAAATGAAAGGGGAGGAAAGCAATAAAGAATCAATCAACAAAGGGCGATAATAAATCAAAGGGGAGGTAAGCAATAAACAGTCAATCAACAAGGGGCGGGTAAACATTACAGATATCAAATGAAATCAGTATGAGGTAAATAAAAATAGGTGAGTTACATTAATTTGATAATATTTAGCGAAACCATTAATTCAAAAAATAATCATGGCGGGCGGATTGAACAAAAATAACACATGGTGAGTACACAAAATGCTTTGATAAAGACGGGCATAATACAAAATTAACAAAATTTAAATATCTCAAAGTAAACTGAGGAATAATTTGATTAACTTTATCTTTGATGGTTAGCCACAACTTAAAATGCAAAATCATAAAAAAAAACCTTAATTACCTGAGGTGCACCAATTACATTTTTTGGCTAGTTTTATTTAATTTTAACTGTAATATATATTTTTATCAATATAGGATAAAATTATATCCTTTTTATTTGATGCATATATTGTGACCTATTGGCCATTGTCGCGCCAAACGTATGATAACAACTACTCCACTTACAAGCGCTTGTAAAATGCAAAAATATCTTTCGAAAAATAATAGCCGAGGCTAAGTATATTATGCCAAAAGCCTATAAAGTCCTTTTAAAGGCTTGAAATAGGCTTGAAATCAACCGTATATTGGTGAGTTCTTTGCCCTTGAAATTTATAACCTCACTTATATGAATATGTCTGTATGCATACTACTTTGTTTCTGGTTAATATTATATTTTTACAAGATTATCTAGTTTACAAGTGCCTTCATCTACACCTAAGACAAGGCGATGTTTAGAGTTTGTTACTGCTTTTGATGTAAGTCGTCTTTTAAATCACAATGTTAAAGGTCAATCGGAGCTACATTATCATGACGTAAAATGATGGCTAACGTGAATGTGTTTGCCTAATTTTTTAAAGGCTGTGTTAAAACATTTAGAGTCCTAGATATCACAACCACGCCCACATCCATACACACTCTGTTTTATATCACTAGTTTATTTTATACATGGCTTCTATTACCTCTATATCTACATCTATTTATACTTGTTATATACAAAATACACGATGTAATCTATAATTATCTCCCCTTACAGTCACCATTAAGTTGTCTCCCTTTATTAGCTTCATAAGTGAGTTATCTCCAAATATGTGTATACATCGAACAATTCTTCCTAAAAATTCCTCATCCAATTTATCGTATCATATAATTCCATTTATTTTTGGATAATATCCCTACCGACAAAAAATAACTTTATGTATCTAGGCTAAAACTTGAAATTGTTAGAGAGAGGGGATATAGCTCTGATATTTTTGTAATAATTTCAAATAGGCCTACCTATGTAAGGGAGATAACTTGGTTATTTATAAAGACTTGTTAAATAGGCAATATCCCTTTGGCAGCTGTTAAGATGGCTCAAGGTTTTATATGATTTGGCTGTCAAGTTAAATCGAACATATTCTTAGATTGGGTAAAAAATTCGACAGATAAATCACCAACCAGTTACTTAAATGTGGGCCTACAATTCGCATACTTTTAGTCATATTCAAAACGACCAACAGGCACACGTTACTATTAATAGGTCAGTGTTTGTATTTTCGAACACGAAGGTGCCAAATACAGTTACGATTGTGTTCCGATTTTGTTTCTGGAGCATATCTAAAAAAAAACATCCAAGATATATTTGTGAAATTTTGTACACACACCAACCTATTATAGGATTTAATATTTTTGGTGTTTGCCATTAAGAGTGATAATGCCTCTTTAAGTAAGGGAGATAATCCTATATTATGAAGGTGTAACATTTATATATTGAATCAATATCTTGTTTTTTTAAAAAAAAGAATTGGTGTATAAAACTTCTAGCTTAAATTTTAAAATTTAAAGACTTTCTGATTCCTTCAGGGAATTCATCATATGTCTCATATTTCAGACACTTTACGTATAGCGCAATCCATCGTGATATACATTAACGCTTGTGTTGATACTGTAAAGCACAAAATTAATGCATGACGTAAATAATGGCGATCTGAAGGAAGTCTACATAAATTGCTATTGAAATTTATGAGACCCATGGCGCAATTTGTAATATTACAAAACAGAAATGCGTAAGTCAACGCAGCAAACAAAAGGCTGCATTTTACGCATTAATTTCCGGTTTTACAGTATCGATTGCATGTTTAATTTTAAGCGAAATCATACCAACGCCCTTCCCGTCACACTTCTTGTAAACTGAGCTCAACCAGGTTACCCACCTTATACTTGGCGAGCTCAATCTTTCTCGGTTAACGGTACTCTCGCAACCTCCACACTTTTCTCGATTAAAAATGTTTTCTTCTATATGTGTATATAAAAACTAGTCCCTAATAAAAACATTAACAAAAAGAATCGTGTTCATGGTACTTAGATTCAGCTATGACAGGCTGCTTACCAGAGGATTCTGTTGCCTTCAGCTGCATCTCGTGTTTCAAAAGCTCTGGTGATGCCAGTGGTGGTTTAACTTCAATACCCGTGCTCAATCTTGGCCCTTCGTCTTTTTTTGTTGCCTGCACAGAAATGACAGCAGGCGATGAGGATGGCGTAGAAGAGGATATTGATGGCGAGTGTGGTGCTGTGGCGTGTAAACGGGTTGGGGTATCAAGGGTAGAGGAATGCGGATCAGAATATTTCACAGCAGTAACCGATTCAGGTTTTGTGACAGTCGACAAAACTTGTGTGGTCCCTAATTTGGCCATTGGGACATTTTCTGACACGCTACTTAATCTAGGCGTTGTAGCTTTCGGATCGGGGCTTATTCTGCTTGTTGCTTTGGGCACCGACAAACTATCCAGAAGGGATGAAGTTACGGTTGAAGTCGGTTCCGTCGATGTGACTTGCTTACTGTCCTTTAATATTGATTTTGTTGGGGAGGTGTCTTTTAAAATAGGTTTAATGGATGAAGCATCCTTTGTTATGGAGTGAACTGGTTTCGCGGAAAGAGATGTGTCTTTTAGAATAGGTTGTATTGCTTTAGCTGAAGAACTTTCCTTTGAAAGTTGTTTTGGAGTAGACGTGTCTTTTAGTATAGACAATCCTGGTTTTGCAGATGCTGCTGGCAGGGGCTGTGAGAGCTCCTTGGCTAGCGGTGACTTTGAAGGAGTGTGGTGCTCTTTACTTAATGGGGGTTTATGTAGGGGTCTCGCGGCGGGTTTAACGTCTATTGCTTTTTTAAGGGGTGCGTCTTTTATAAGACTCACAGGAACATCCGTAACAACAGCGCGTGTGGTTGTGACATTGTCTTTAGGAGAACTTGAAGTCAAAGACGAACTTCGTCGTTTATTTTGTGGTAAAGAGTCTTTTGTCAAACTATGCCGATGATGCAAATTGGGCGCAGTTGCTCCTCTTTTAACATCTTTCGAAAAGTGGGTTTTAGCACTAGGGTCCTTGGAGGGTTTAACTGGATCATCGGGAATGACCAGATACTGTACAGTTGCTATGGAGCTGCTTTGACTGTCAATGCTCGTAGGTGGATCTTCCTGACTCGGGGTTTTGGCTTCTTTCAAACGTTTAGGTTTGGAGTGTTCAAATGCTTTTAAGATTTTACTGCCAAGAAAACTGCCTCTCCGTTTTTCACTCTCCGACCTTTCCTGGTCGTCCTCCTCTTCCTGATTCTTACCCGATAGTACCCCAACATCCCCAACACTCCCAGAACGTTTTCTATCCGGAACATGAGGAACTTTCAATCCGAAGAGGTTGGTCCCAGAAGGCACCTTGGGAAGTTTACCCCATATATGGCTTGTGTATTTATGTTCCGTGTGAAAATCGATCAAATCCCGGTCACGAAGATTTTCCCGGGATTTTGACTTTTTCTCCTCTGTTATTTTATGCAGCTTGGATCCAAAATCAAATTTAAATTTTTTCTTGGGTTTGCTTCCCTCCGAACTGTCATCACTCTCCTTTTCATCATCCTCGCTAGCACTGGTTGGTATGGGTGTCGACTCCATAACAATTTCATTCACTAGCTTCTGGTCCTCCTCCAGATCAGCCCGGCTACTGACGATGCTGGGATTTTTACCAATTTTCGTCAACCTTTCCGCGGCAACACTTTCCATCGTTCTACGCATAACCGGATATCGATCTAAAACCGCGTTAAAATGATGAACAGACAGGGAATAGAGATTAACGTATGTTTCTGCCCGAACACTTGCAACTCGTCGGGCGTTGGTCAAAAGACAGATTTCTGAAATAAAGCAAATAAAACAATCAATGTTAACATTGTTTTTTTGTAGATTTATGGGGCCTTATTCGCAAAAACACAAACTGAAATATTTTTAGACTTGGGCCGTTCATCATCCTCGGGATCCCCTAGGTAACAGTTCCGTTCTACTCCACTAAGCCCTGGTTCCATTCATGGGGTATTCATGAATTCAAATTATCTACCCTTGGTGATTTCATTGGCCACTTAGGTTGATTCTACGAACCAATCAGAAAATAGTTTACATATCAGTCTTAGCCTCATTATTGACGTTCACCACTATACAGCAGTACTGTGACATGCACACAAACAGATTTCCTAAAATATTTTGACAAAGTTTACACCAATATTTGGGGGGTCTTAGTTGCAACATAATACAAGTTACTTCTCCTCGACCACTCACTTTGTATTTATGGAATTATTTGATTGGTCGATGAAAGGGGCACAGTTATCAAGGGTGGATAATTTGACTATGTATCTCTGCTGTGAATGGACCCATGGGTTGGTGGAGTGATCAGGATGTTCCGGCTCGCTAAAGTTTCTTTTGTACCAGGATTACATCTTTCAGCCAATGGAATTGGAAAGACTATATCCTTAAAGTTACAATTTCATATTTTCTAAGAAAGTCAAAACATAATTATTTCTATGTCTTTTGCTCAATCGGTTGTCAACTCACTATTATACGATCATAGGTTATCTTTCTCGCACTTAAAAATCTTCACACCAGAAATAATAACACAATTACCTCCCTTGTTTTCCTATTCCCCACCATGGAATAGCTATCTTCAAACGTTTGAATTTGAAGTTAAAAATGATTTTTTTGCCAATTTCTCAACTGGCAATAGTGAATTATAGGATTAATAGGATTATTCTTTAACAAGGTAGGTCTGTTTATAGATACCATCTATTTTAGGGCTTTATTTTAATACATTTTAGAAATATAACTTAAAAATATGAGATTGTAACTTTAAACCATATGAGTTTAATTTTTTGTGGATAATGTCCTTGGGTGTGATTTGATATCTATGATATGTTTAGATATACAAAAATTGATTTAAAAATTAACATATATAACTTTTTGCAGACAAAACAATACACTTATTAAATGGACCAGGTTATTCATAAAGATTACCTCCTAGCCATTGTGTTTACGAATATAGATTACTTCGTAACCATAGTGTTTACCAATAAATATTATCTCATAACCATAGTATTTACGAATAAAGATCCCATTGTCATCACAGTGTTTATGAACAAAGATTATCTCATAAATACAGTTTTTATGAATTACGGTTATCTTTTGACTGACTGCTGCTTAATGTTTTGAAACAAAATTTAATCGTTTAGTATTTGCCACATGAAGGGGATATCCCAGCATAGGCGTTTCTTAATATTAAAAAATATCATTACTTTAAAAAAAAAAAGAAAAAGAATTTGAAAACTTACCGCCGAAATATGAACCGTCTGAAAGACTTGTAGCGACTTCATTGTCTGATGTGATAATATCAACGATTCCTTCTTGTATAAAATACATCTTCGTTCCAATCGTACCCTCCTTTATAATATAATCACCATTTTGATAAACTTCAAATTCTAGTTTACTAACAACCTCCGACACAAACTCTGGATCAGCGTTAGTAAAAAATGGCACAGATGCTACTAAAGCTCGACAGTTGTGGTTGACGACCTCCTGAAATAGATGTAACAAATCATATATTGTTGCGTTTTATTTATATAGCGCCAGACGTCTGTAAATGTGAAAAAAAAAACATATGTGGTGCAAATTTATTCTTTGACAGTTGTGGTTGACGACCTCCTGAAAAAGATGTAAAAAAACCCACATATTTTGTAGCTTTCAGACATCTGGGAGATGCTAATTGTGAGAGAGAACGAGAAATGGGGTTTAACGTCCACTCGACACAAACTAGGTCATTTCGGGACTAACATATGGTCACATACAAGCGAGATGCTAATTGTAGGCCGGTTAATTAGTATTCTGGGGAATACTAACCCTAATTCTTTTCAGAAGACTGAACTTGGACCCAATTTACCGTTTACCCTTCTTAATAGGGTTAGGGTTGGTATTCCCCAAAATATTAATTACTTGTCTTTACTAGACTAGGATCTAGAAGAGTTGTTATATAACCCGCGTTCTGGATGATGTGAGGGATTAGTCAATGAAATGGTCTGTTGCAGCGAGTTTTTGGCGTGAGGTGCACTAAACTATGGTTAACCCACTAACAACATCAACATAGATCGGTTAATCAAATATCTGACGTCATAGGGTCAAAAGCCGCTCGTATGACCCCTGATGCGACCTTCCACTACAACTGATCAGATCTTTATGTAGTGTAGGGCATCGAAAGTATAAAAAAATGAAACGAAATATAGATCTGTATTTTAATCAGATTCAATAAATGGCCATAGCATTGAACATATAGTGCACGTTGGGATGTTTCTTTCATCAAAGTCGCAAGAACTTTCTCCCCACTCTCCCCGGCACGAGTCGCCAAAACTTCCCCCCCCCACCCGGCTCGTACGCCTACATTTTTAACAAATTTAGATTTAATTTTTTTTAACCTTATCATTCGTTACAACTACATTTCATTTTTAACAAATCTAGTTTTAGTTTTTATTAAACCTTATTATTCATTACAATGTATGTATTTTATGTCAAATCTGTCTTTCGTAATTTTCAGTAAATAGATTCAGTTTAACCTGGAAACCTTTTGTCTAGTCCCAACCATGATCTGGCCACAATTTTCCACGATCCACCGTATAGAATTCCACGATGGATGAAAACGGAATTTCAGACCAAGTGAGTATTTTATAGAACCTAGACATGCTCAGACCAAGTGAGTATTTTATAGAACCTAGACATGCTCCGACCAAGTGAGTATTTTATAGAACCTAGACATGCTCCGACCAAGTGAGTATTTTATAGAACCTAGACATGCTCCGACCAAGTGAGTATTTTATAGAACCTAGACGGGCTCAGACCAAGTGAGTATTTTATAGAACCTAGATATGCTCCGACTAAGTGAGTATTTTATAGAACCTAGACGGGCTCAGACCAAGTGAGTATTTTATAGAACCTAGACGGGCTCAGACCAAGTGAGTATTTTATAGAACCTAGACGGGCTCAGACCAAGTGAGTATTTTATAGAACCTAGACATGCTCAGACCAAGTGAGTATTTTATAGAACCTAGACATGCTCCGACCAAGTGAGTATTTTATAGAACCTAGACGGGCTCAGACCAAGTGAGTATTTTATAGAACCTAGACGGGCTCAGACCAAGTGAGTATTTTATAGAACCTAGACATGCTCAGACCAAGTGAGTATTTTATAGAACCTAGACATGCTCCGACCAAGTGAGTATTTTATAGAACCTAGACGGGCTCAGACCAAGTGAGTATTTTATAGAACCTAGACGGGCTCAGAATCAATATAGATATTGTTAAAGATAATATGGCTAAATCTATTTGTTAACGCCAGCTCAAGTTTTGTCAAAGTCGCTGAGATGTAAATAAGGTTAGGGCATGTGATTGTTGGCAAGATTGTAGGTTAGGGTTAGGGTAAGCCTTGGGGCTAGGTCCAAGCTTAGGGTTTACATCTTGTCTTACTTTCTTTCATGGCTTAATCCACGCTAAGATGTACACAAATTGTTTAAATAAGACAACAAAATCAAAATATCAGGAAGATATCTCCAGGCATAAATAAAACAAGATTAATCTTTGAATGGCATTTGGGATTGAACATAATATAACACAGTGGAGATTAATCTGACTTAAAGACAGAGAGAGAGAGAGAGGGAGGTTTAACGTCCACTCGACACAAACTAGGTCATTTTGGGACTAACATATGGTTTAATTTTATTTCAACAATTCGCTTGCGCGTAGGCTTCTTTAGCAGTGGGAGGAAACCGGGGGACCCGGAGAAAACCCATGAGGTTGATCAGGTGACCCTACTCCTTGTCACGTACAACCAGGGAATCGAAACCACGCCGGCAGTTGACTCAATGACCCCATAATCTGAATACAAAGAAGTCCATCAAAATATTTGACCTATTACCTATAAGTGTACCTGACTTGATAATATTGGAGAGTTTTTAAGAAATTCTATCATATCTCTATAAATATGTTTGAACTATAAAGACCAATGAACTTATCTCAAGTATTCAGATTCTAAAACAAACTAACCTGCCATCAAGACCAAAAAAAAACGCATGAAAATTGAAAGAATCCTTCAACTCTAGATCTTCCAGTGTACGAGTGTAGTTTTCCCTTGTCAGTAGATGGGATATGGAATTCAATATATGAATAGGCTGTAGCCTAATAGCACACTTTATGGCATATGCCCATCTTCATTAGCCCAGTCAGTGTAGAACAGTAGGACATTAAACCTCATTTGGTTTTTATAAGATATCCACCCAATAAACATCTGACCGACTTTTTAAGATGAAATAATAGAGTAAGATATATAAACTGTGTAGTCGACAATCTGTTTATAATCAACTGTTACATGTAAATATTTAATCAATGGAAGAAACAGTTGAAATAGAACTATAATTACTCACTATGACTCATTTACTTTCTATAACTAATGGGAGATAGAGAGTAATAGACCAATCTATAGAGATCTTCCATCCTATAGGCCCTATTGGTGAGAGAGAGAGAGAGAGAGAGAGAGAGAGAGAGAGAGAACTCAACACAAATTAGGTCATTTCAGGACTAAATGAAATGAAATGAAATGAGGTTTAACGTCCTACTGTTTTGCTCCGAACTGGGCTAATGAAGACGGGCATACGCCATACAGTGTGCTATGAGGGAAATTTTGCCCGTACAGCGGCACTGTGACCTACTCTTATATCGAATTCCAACTGTCAAGGGATCTTTTACGTGCATGCCAATGTATACACGGGACCTCGTTTTTTTGTCTCATCCGAATGACTATACAGCTGTCCTTGTCAGGCCCTCCGTCCTGCATCACTGACAAGGGGAAACCACGGCGGAAAATCTGGGTGAACTTTCTCGGCCAATGCAGGGATTGAACACCCGACCTGCAGGCTAGCGAGCCAGTGTCTTACCCACTTAGCCACCGTGACCCCCCCCATTTCAGGACTAACATATGGTTTAACTTTATTTCAATAATTCGCTTGCACGTTGGGGTCTTTAGCAGTGGGAGGAAATCGGAAGACCTGCAGAAAACCAACAATTTTGGACAGGCGACCCAACTCCTTGTCACGTACAACTGGGAAATCGAAACGACAGTTGCCCTTATGACCTTATGATACAGCACGCACACATTAACCATTCGGCCATCAACCCCCCTCTCAACGTTAGCCAGCCTTAGATTGACCAGCCAAATACCCCTAGGGATATGTAATAAGGTGTTCGAGAAAATAGAAGATTGCGCTATGTCATGTTATATGCCGTTCGATATTTTCTAATCTGGGATTGGTGGCAATGAAAAAACTGAATGAATTGCAGATTAACAAATTATTTAGTGTTGCTTGAGGCATGCGACACAGTAATCTTATCACTTCTAAAGACGAGAATCTAAAGTAGGATCATTCATTGTCTATTTGTATACAACATGTTTACAACTCAACAGCTCTAGGTAAAAATCACAGAAATAGTTAACTCTTATTGCCTCGTTCAATAACCCATTTTCTTTTCTCCAATTGAGATTATTAAACAGAGAGAGAGAGAGAGAGGTTCACTCAACACACACTAGGTCATTTTAATTTTTTTTAAAAATAATTCGCTTGCACGTAGGGGTCTTTTAGCAGTGGGAGGAAACCGGAGGACCCAGAGAAAACCCACGAGGGTGGACAGGCAACCCTACTTCTTGTCATGTACAAATGAGGAATTGAAACACCCCATATCTTTTTGTTTTATTTGTAAAATCAAAGCTTTTATCCTCCACTTTTCTTTATTTTATCATACAACAATGAATTCCGGAGCCACGGTGGCTAGGTGGTTAAGGTGCTGGCTCGCTAGCCTGGAGGTCGGGTGTTCGATCCCTGCATTGGCCGAGAAAGTTCATCCCGATTTTCCGACGTGGTTTCCCCTTGTCAGTGATGCAGGACGGAGGGCCTGACGAGGACAGCTGTCTAGTCCTTCGGATGAGACGAAAAACCGAGGTCCCGTGTAAACATTGGAATGCACGTAAAAGATCCCTTGGCAGTTGGAATTCGATATAAGAGTAGGCGATAGTGCCGCTGCCCGGGTAAAATTTCCCTCATAGCACACTGTATGGCGTATGCCCGTCTTCATTAGCCCAGTATAGGAGCAGAACAGTAGGACGTTAAACCCCATTTCATTTCATTTCATTCCGACTCTTTTTGTTATTACAGGACATTTATGACATCCCGTTTCATTTCAAGCGCACACATTAAAGATTCGATTTAAACAGTCGTCCATTTAATAATTAATTCATTGAACATTCACCCTTAATCATTGACGTCACTTCCAAAGACTGCTGATGAAAATACTGATAATCGAGGATACCTTATGCAGTGGAAACATTAGCCGCATCATTCGGCCGAATCAATCGGCGCCGAATTTTATCCGGCCGAATGGGTGGACACACTAGCCGAATGCTTCGCCCGATTCCCTAGTCGATTGCATCACCTTTCATGTCACATGATTAAACATGGCGGCGTCTATGTCTTCAAACAGGACAC